GAAGTTTTTTGTATTTGCGTCCGAATTGAAAACCATAAAATATTTTATTATGAGTGCAATTTAACATAACAATGTATATAAATTACTATTAATGTTGCTGAATTAACGCTACTTGCATTTAATTGTTAAGTTGGTAGTATTCCAAAACTGTGTAAGTGTGATGTATGCATATTATAAACTTTTTCAAATCTAAGAATTCTAATTTTCCATAAAATTTTGCAAAATTCCCTGATTTTTCCCTGATTTCCCTAACCGTTTTCAAATTTTGCAAAATTTCCCTGATTTCTAGTTTTAATCTTTTTCTCTGAAAAAGAACGCTACAATTATTTCTAACTTCTAATTCTGATTGCTAATTTCTATTGCTACATTTCTAAATTTTCTTCAATTCTCTCATCGTTTCATCAACTCGACACAGCGTAATAAATTTCATTATCAATTTCGCGCTATTGTATTTAAGTAGTCATCGCCGTCTTTCATATCAAATAATCGCGAAAGGTTACACCTTCACAGGGTTACTTGATACTGTCAACAAACGAGTCGAAGGTCTTGAAAAGCGGGAGGAAGAGGCTACCCTTCGTAAGGCTTCTTATGAGAATTCCTTCATGCCGGAATGCACGGCATCATCGTATTACATTTACACCAAGTTTCGCGTAACTGCAAAAGAGAGCTCGTATCGTTTCTCCGAACCGGTTTTTATTCGTCCTTAAATCGCGAGTATTCCGCCCTTCGTCTTTATCGAACGATCCCGCGTTGTTTGAAACAATAAAATCTCCCAGATTCGACGGGGAGATTCGCAGATCCGATTTGATGGGATTGGGATAATGATCCCAGATTGTGCCACGCTTTGACGCCCACGGCGTTATTTCTGCAAGGCAAGAACGGCAGAAGGGATCCCTTTCCCGCCCTTCGCACTGTACAAATACATACAGGATTAAGGTGCATTAACGGCGAGGATTGCGTCGTATGTTTCAATCGCGATTTAATAGTCATGGGCCAACAATCACAAATTGCTCATTTCAAACGGTATCTTATATTTTAAATTCTCGAAATCAATTTCCGAGAATTATTATTTGGATACTTTCTATCTTACAGATATCAATCATTTTGTCACAGCTTTGAGCTTGGAATACTTCCGAAAGTATAATTTCCCTTCTCTTCAGAATTTCAGAAATTTTTAATTTAATTTGAAATATTGAATCCACGGTGGGATATAACAGCCATGTTCCTTTCCCCTTGGAATCTCCTTTTTTAAAAATATTTATTAACAAAAATATATATTTTTAATGTTTTATATATATAATATATAAAACACACACACACACA